GCTTTTCTTTCGCTTTTTGACATAGCGAGCTCTTCCAAGAGCTCTTCTGTGAGGCTGCTGCCGATGTTCAACATTATGCCTGTGACTTCAGGGACACTAATTTCTAAGGCGTGGTTCTGTAAGAAAATAGACTTGCAGAAATAATATCAGCATGTTTATTTTCTGCAGGGTTTATAGAACCTAATGTTCTGTCTCTTTCTGGCATCTGGTTATTCCAGCGTGTTTTAGTTGCATTAAATAGTCAACAATAAGCAATGGAAAGGCTTGAGTTACGTGTGTATGGGAATAATGAGGCAAAGTCATGGATTGCTCCCTTTCTGCACAAACAGCGAGTGGCAATCTTGATAACATGCTTTCAGGTAATTATTGCTGTGGTTTAGATCATTTCGGTATATACTAATGTGATGTATTTGATTTTTAGTCTCTATGTTTCGCTGTGGAGGGAGCACAGGAAATGTTTAACGGGCAAGCGTGCCTAGGTTGCTCTCTCATTTCTGTTTTCTTATCAGCAAAACATAAATCTGCAGCTTGCTGACAATGAAACCATATGGTAACTCTTTCTGACAAATCGATTTTGCAATACGGATAATCCTGGCTCTGCATGTGAAGAGATATTTTGGATTATTTTGTCTTAATTCTTGCATTACTCTTTATTTTTCAGTGCCTGGAAATTACATATGTGGCTATTTCTGAACCCAGTGGTTTGGGTGAATTAAGAATTTATGGCGTATGCTACACTTTAGTGTCTGTACTTTGAGGAGAGTTATTTGTCATATAAAATAATTTGTTTATTTGCAATAGCCAATGCCCTTCTTCTGTGTTGGCAGCGGATTCAGATAGAATCCTAGAATCACAGGAGGGTTTGGGTTGGAAGGGACCTTTCAAGACCATCTAGTCCAATCCCCCAGGAATGACCAGGGACATCTTCAACCAGCCCAGGTTGCCCAAAGCCCCATCCAACCTGACTTTGAATGTTTCCAGGGCCGGGGCATCTACCACCTCTGTGGGCAACCTGTGCCAGTGCTTCACCACCCTCAGCATAAGAAATGTCTTCCCTAGATCTAGTCTAAATCACCCCTCTTTTACTTTCAAACCATTAGCCCTTGTCCTATCACTACAGGCCCTGCTAGAAAGTTTGTCCCCATCTTTTTTAGAAGCCCTCTTTAAGTACTGAAAGACCGCAGTAAGGGCTCCCCGGAGCCATCTCTTTTTGAATACTTTTGGCACACTGGGTATCCTTTCAGATAAGCTGAGAAGCTAAGAAATACATTTGTATAAATCAGCTCTTGCTTTACAAGACGCTGCAGAAGTAGCTGTAGGAACTTGAAGGTGTTCAGCTCTTTGTGCCCTGAAGGCGGTTGGCCAGCTGATGGCTGATGGTCATCTCGGTTCACCAGAGCTGATGCCGTCCGTTGCCATGGTACGCAGAGTGGACACGGTGGTTTGTTAATCCTTTTCATGGAGTAAAATGAACAAGCGAGAGTGCTCACAACTTCTGTTGGACTTCAGAATTAATAAATAAAAATATTTCCAGACTTTGCTTCATAGGGATGTATCAGCAAGTGAGTTTTCTTCTTGAGGTTGGAAGCAGTAGCCAGTATCTGGAGGTGTAAGCAGAGCACGAGCCTGGGCGTGGGGAACAACAGCGAGGAGAAATGGGAACTGGGCGCCAGAGACACATATCAAGTCTAGGAACGATGCCATGAAGCTAATCAAAACTAAACAACACATCATGAATTTTGATGTTTATTATAAATGACGTGGAAATGGCTGTTAATTCCTCAAGCTTTAGGTGCTGACTGGCAGGCACGAATCTGTGGGGTGTGAGATGCAGCTATTGCAAAGCTAAGTGAGCAATAATTAGGGGGTTTATTCAGTTCTACATTTCTGGGTGCTAACAGTTACTGCAAGCCAAGACCTGAACGTGATTTTTTTCTAGATACTTAGAAAAGAAATATAAATCAAGATGTAAATCTGGTCAGCACAAATGTTTATCCAGTATTTGTGTTTTACTTCAGGCGTCAATGCAGCCTCAAGCACCAGCCTCAGTTGAAAATGAAAATATAAATATATTTAAAATAATAAAGTTCTTGATTGTAGTAGATGTAGTCAGATAAACATGCCTGAAGAGTATTCAAAGGATAAATACATGGAGCATCTGCTTATGTAGATATGAGGATGGAAGCTTACCTAAACAGTGGTTTTCTGGAGATGGAAGGGTAAAATTAACCTAGCAGAACAGCGAATGCAGCAAGTAACCGCAAAAAACATTTTAGGTAGTTAATAGCAAAGGATGCTAGAGCTTACAGGAGAGATTTTACAAATGGGTTATTAGAAGACCATTGCTGATGAAAATTAGGGCAAATTTTATCCAGGGATATTAAATCTGAACGTGGATAAAATTCACAAAGTCATAATCCATCTACGGATTATTTCCATAAAAGTATTTGTAAAAAGCAAAAAGTAGTGACACATTTAATGTTTTGACTTTGGTGGGAAGAAATTGTATTGAAAAGCTCTTACAAGAAGAAGAAATGGTATCTTGCTCTGGCCAAACGCAGGTACGTGAGAGGCGGTTGCTGAACTTTCAGCTCAGCAGCTGTGTAAAGCTGGGCGTAGAAGCTTTCAGGAGTTTAGCTCTCATTAGCTGCTGTTAAGATGAGCCTCTGGGGCTCCTGCCCGATTACGTTCCCCGTTCATTTGGGAATGATCCTTGTGATGACATAAGGGAATGATCGTCCGAGGACGATGTAATGCTGTTCCAGCCCTGGCCAAAGCGAGGGAATAGCCACGGCTTCATGGGACAGCGGCTTTTAGCAATCCGTGCGATGCTCAAGTGAAGGAAAAATATTTTAAAATCCGCGGCTGAGGAATGATGCTTGACGAGGTCACTGGCATTCAGAGATTTTAATCACTCAACATACACCACCGTGGGCGAGGACAGTGCAGGAAAGGGTCAGGAGCACCTCACCCAGCTGCAGCTGCACGTGTTGCTCAGGATGGTCAGTGCTGGATTAAATGAAACAAGTCTCGAGAGAAGGGATCCGGTGCCAAGCGATGCGTTGTGTGGAGAGCAGAGGCCGAGTAACGAGTCCAGGGCAACTGGCAAGTCTGCTGAAAGTGTCTAATGGGCACTGCTGTGGTGGCTGAGCAATGACTTGGAGTCAAATCTGGCTCTGAATTACTTTCTGCATCCCGTGCAGCTGGAAGTGTCACCGATATGAACTCTTAAGTTTGTGATCCGGTATCTAAAAATAGCCTTGGAAGTATAAAATGCAAACCGGTAGATATTTTGCAGCTTAGGACAGTGGTTTTTCACAGTAAGGCTCTGAGTGATTAAGGTAAAAAGAAAGGCCCAAACTCGTAACGCTCATCTGAAGCGAGGAGGAAGGTTGTCCGAGGCACACATCCCGTGTGTTCCAGTAACGGCGTGTCGGAGGGAAGGACAAGGGAGGAAGGGACACGACCCTCAAGGAAGCATTTGCTCTCAGTGAGGCAAATTGCTGCCACAGTGAGAGACTGAAAGAAATGGCAGCACAAACAGAAATAATCTGCATGGAATTGGAAAAGGCGTGTTTTTAACAGCTAGCTCTCAATACATGTTTACTTAGTAGATTAGATCAGTAATTGTCACTGTGGCTTTTGTTTGGTCTTTTGCTGAGATTTCTTTGGGTTTGTTTTCCAGGGGGCCGGGGTTTCTAAGAGCGTGAATCGGAGACGGGCAGTAAGCCTGTCTGCTGCCGTTTGATCGCAGAACCTTGACGTTAACGACAAGAGGGGGGTTTTAAGTATTAAAAATAAAATCGATTTGCTATCAACATGTGATTCTGTCAAGGTGTTCTCAAGGACGCAATTAAAACTCTACATTTCTTTTTGCTTGTGAGTGCAGGAAGCATATTTTCCCCCTTTTAATTTTTTGGTGTGCTGTCATAGCGTTGGCAACTCTGGTCTTGCAACTGCAACCGAGTTGCATCTGAGCCTGCTGAAGTCGTTTGGAAATCCAGCGAAAGATGGGGAACTTGGACTCTGATGCAGAAGCAGTGCTGGTATTTAGTAAATGTTTAAAAAAAAATAAAATATGTAACACAGTTTCCAGATTCTGTCAGTGTACTTATACAAAACCAGAAAAATGTGTTTATTGTTGTTTTCTTGAAGTATATCTGGATAGTATATGTTGTCTTAATGACTAATCATTAAAATTTGTGTTTAAAATGAGTGTGAAACAAGGAACATGTGACAATAAACCCCATTGTATAAAGTTAGTGGCTGATGTTAGATAGCCAAGAGAAGAGCTCCATGACTCAAAGACAGTCACGAGTGACAAAGAAATAGAAAAAGCCAAACGAACAAAAATGTGCTAAAAATGAAGGATGTACTATAAAGCCGAGTTTATCACTTGAAGGATAAGTTGGAGTAGTTGTGCTGTCGGTGCGTGCCCCTCTCCGTCCCCTCCCAGCTTTGAGCTGCTGGCTCGTTGCAGAGGTGCGGTGCTCGGGAACGATAGGAGGTGTCCGTAGGATCCTGGGGGGTGCTACTAAGTAGACTGAAGTACGTGATCAGTCCGTTAGGTCTTGGGGAGTTTGCGTGGTGGAAGATGCGTTACGAATACTCCCAGCATGGAAGATGCCAGCCTGAGGACTTAATTAAACACACAGAGTCCAACAAGACAGGAATCCGCAGGAGACCATGCCACTCCCAGAATGACTTTTTTGGGGTTTTTTTTAAATGTTTAATATGTGCCAGTCTAAGTAGATAGTGTTGCAACACAAGTAACCGCCCTTTGTGCCGGGGTCAGAGCAGAGGAACTGTTGAATGGCACCAGAGGGGGTTTGGCCTTGGGCTGGTCCTTGGCAGAGCAGTCAGCATTGCCCACCCCAAGGTCTGTTACTTGTTTTGACCATTAACTTGGACAGATTTACAGCCTGATGACAATAAAACTGAAGGGGACCTTTGCTTTCGGCTCTGGCGCTGCATTGTCTTGCTTTGTTTTCATTCTGCAGGGCAGTGCAGCCGCGTCTTCCCTCCCCAGCTCGGCACGCTACAGATCATTCACGGCAACGGCACGGCCGTGGGGACGGTGATAACATTCCAGTGCTCTGCCGAGCACCAGCTGGAGGGACCGGGCATCATCACCTGCGTTTGGAAAGGGAACGGTACCCAGTGGACAGCCGGAGTGCCCTCCTGCAAGTGTAAGGTCCTTCCCAAACCATCCCCGGTCCCTTCGGGCCACGTCGTGGTTATTTTGCCCTACCTATCTCCTTCAGCTTCAGGATTAATTCTAGACATCTGTGCAAGGAAAAAGACAAATTCAATTTCCTTCAGAGTTGCCCCCACTGACTCTAATTGCGCTCCATATGTGTTCTGACATCATTCATTATCATGACACAGAAAAGACTCAGTTGGATTTATGCGTGATCTCACGTCACCGACTCCGGGAGCATTGTACCTGGAATAAACGTGGCTCTGTAGCTACAAGCTGTACCCTTCTTTAGAAAATGTATAGATATGACCAACTAACGTGCAAGCACATTTGCAAACCCTCTAATCTCCTGGCATTCTTTTCTGAAGAAACACAGCGCTATTTTTTGCACAATTTTAGGTTGTTGCCTGTGGGCAGCTGCACGGGAAAGTTCCCGTATTGACAAATAGCATTGGAATGGCAGCAGCATGAACTACCTTTCCCGCTGTGTGCCTTCCTGTTCATTGTGAGGTTGTCAGTAATTTGACCAGAAGTAGGCCCAAGCAAAATGTGGTCCCTCTGAGCTTTGAGAATCTCAGTCCCTGTGTAATTTTAGCTCACCGGTAGATGGATGGCTCTTTTAGACACTTAGCGCGCTCTCACAAACTCAGCTATTCTTACCTCTCGTTTGAGAGAGCCCATTAAAGAAAAATGAGAGAGATCCTCCCCTCCAGAGGCTGCAGAAATAGAAAGCTTTGTGTGGAGCTCAGCTGATCCGTCTCTGATGCTGGACATCGTGGTGTTGGAAGAACTAGGTGAGCTCTGAAGCAGGACGTGCTTAGAGCTCCAGAGGAGTTGGCAGAGAGCTGCAGTAGCTGTGCCACACCACGTTCCCACTCCTCCTTTTGTCTGGATAACTCACTTCCAGCACCGGGTCCCCGTGAACCCTCAGCCCTGCAGATACTGTCCCTTCTTCCCTTCTGCATCCTTCCCCGAACAGAGGAAAACCTATTGTTCGCTGCCTGCCAGACAGGAGGCAATTCTGTGGAACCGTCCTTGCTCTAAAGGGCTTCTTTAAACCCATTCACCTCTGTCAGCATTTGGTTTTGCAGCTCCAGTCCTCATTAACAATTGCTTATGAGAGTCTGCTAGCTCATCTGCATTAGATGTGCCGACAAAGTTGTGCTTTTTAGCTACTGCAGCGCTAAAGGCATTGTGTTTAATTAGTTGCAGTGGTGAAATATTTGTGAACAATTCATTAGTAGCTTATAAACAGGAGATTTTTAAATAGCCCAATTTGAGGCTTGCGTAGCTCTAAGCTGAAGCCAAGATACTCTGGTATCTTGCCACATACTAACGTGAAAGTCCTCACTGAGCTGTTATTAGCAGAAGTGTAAAGCAGGTAGGTTTCAGCATGGTTTAAGGAAAATATGAAAGATAAATTCATGGGTTGACCTTAGAAATGTGCTTCTGTGTTTGCTTTGCTGCAGCCATATCAAAATACGAGACTTTTGGATTTAAGGTCGCGGTGATTGCCTCCATTGTGAGCTGTGCCGTCATTCTGCTGATGTCCATGGCTTTTTTAACTTGTTGTCTTATCAAGTGCGTGAAGAAAAGTGAAAGGCGGAGGACTCAAAGGTATGTCAAGAAAAGATTTTTAAAACCAGCGTAAGACTGTACATGCTATGAACCCCATTGCTGTGATAGCAGAGAGCTTCAAAGGACTTGATGCTCACACCACCACAGTGATGTTCATTACTTAAAATCCTTAATTTGTTAGGCTTTAGGCATAGAAAGACTTGGAATTCAAGACTATTTAGGCACCTAATGTCTGTTAGTATCAGATGACCTCAGTGGGCCTGGGCAGATCGGGGTTTACCCAGGATTATGCAGAACTTGCTGGCCCAGTGTTTCTCTCCTTCGGTTATTTAAGCCTGGCCATGTTCTCCCTTCCTCTCTCTCTACTTCATTTTTTTTCTTTCTTCTCCTTGAACACTGCTGGGAAAATTAGTCTCCCCATGTCAAAACCATCAAAGCCCTCACCATCTGCAAAGCATACTTGAAGCTGTCGCAGCGCTGTGCTGGAAGGACGTAGGATTTTGTCTTCTGGCTTGAAGCGCAAGACAGTGACCAGGATTATAAACGGGCATGGGAAGAAGTAAAATTCACCAGTCCGGTCCATTATAAAAACTCAGTGTGAAGGGTGACCACATCTGGCTGTACGCTAAGGCTGAGCCACTGTTGTTCCTGAGAGCATCCGTCCAACGTCACCGCTGCAGAAGGCTTCCACGGGCACCTCTTCTCGTTTCCCTCTCACCTTTCCTGCTCGTTGTCCGTAACTCGGTGGGGTGGCCGCACCCTGTCCTGCTGATGCCTGCTGTGCGGCCACTAACCCACGCTTCTCGTTGGCTTTAAGCCTCTCCTTGCTTCAGAGAAGTGTTTGGAGTGAGGTGGGGTAGCGGTGGAGGAGAGGGAGACTGGGGAGGGCAGGAGTGAAGGTCTCTGCTCCGAGCTGTGTTTTATCAGAGCTGCGTGGTAACCAGCTTAGGGGGGAAATTCTGTCAGTTCAAAATCTGATTGGAACCAAAATACAGATTTTTCTATTTCCCTTGAAAGGATTTTGTGAGGCAAAAAAAGAAAGTCTTTGGTGTCATTCATAATATTAGCTTTTCACTGATAGCATGAAATTTTTGAAATGAAAGGGCTGATTGGCATTTTTGGAATTACCGCTTTTCTTTTTGATAAGAGTATTCATATCAAAGTCCTTGTTTTTCATCTATTTTAAATGGAGTTTTGTCCAAATTAGCTGTTCACGTGACTTTGATGACTTGGTATCTTTCTCCTATGAAAGAAAAGCCCTTCACACCGGACCTGGTTCTGTCATCAGGACGTAACACGGTTCCCTTTGTTGGGAGCTTCTCGGTTCCCTGCTGCCCTCTGCCCTCCCTTCGCTGCCTCCTGACGGAGCTGCTCCAGCTTGGCCCGTCTGGGGGGGAACCCCATCTCCTGCGGGGGAACCTGGGGACACTGAAGACATCGGGTGGCTTGGCCCCGCCGTCAGAAAGCAACTGAGATGCTGGAGAAACCGTCCGCGTCACGTGAGAAAGAGTAACGCATCCCTGTATGACGCTTGCTTGGCCCGCAGCCCGTGCTGCAGAGCGCCAGATGTGCAGGTCGCTGCTGCAGCTGCAGCGGCGTGAGGGTCTGCATGAGAGAGGACCCCTTGTGAGGTCGGTCGATGCAGTTGGAAAACGCGGATCGACTTTTGGATGCGCAGAGCATTCATCTGAAGAGAAGCTGCGGGCTTGATAGCAATGCAAAATGGCCATGCTCGGTAAGGGCTTGGTTAAACAAGTGTTTCTTAGGCCATCTCTGGAGGAAAAGGCAGCCTGGACCTGTGGGGCAGGGAGGATGTCCTCCTCCTGCCTTTAGCTTTGAAGCCTGCCTGTCTGCTGGTTTTGGCTCTTTTAGTTGATCTACTAGAAGAGCTCACCTCTGCCGACAAACCTGTCCTGCAAGGTATCTGTTTGATGATCTTCGAAGTGCCATCTTGTGTTTTATCCTTGCATTTGGAGAGAAGAAGGACAAAGGCTGCTGAAAAGCCTCACATAACGTCGCCTCCTCGCAGACCTTGTCCCACTGCGTGAGCATAGCTGCCGTGTTCTCTGGTAGGAGCACGATTGCATCCTGAGAGGACAGAAGTGACACCAAAATCAGCATCGCCAGCCCTCACACTTTAATCTTGTCCCATCAGCTAGTGTGAATGTCTGTGATTACGTGAATCTTGGACTACTTTTAAAAAACAAGAAAAGAAATTGTGATTTTTTTTAATTTTTCTTTTTCACCCCAGCGTTGTAGAGAGCAGCATAAAAAGCTCCTTGAGCATTTCCGAAAGGGAATCCTGAAGGCTCTAGCAAAGGCAGTGTTATACCTGTCTCCTCCATTTTTAAGTCAATTCATCTTTTCAACCTGCCTGGTGATTTTTGAACCCTTAGGAATGGCAGTGCTGCAAAAATTCAAAGAAAATACTTTTTTTTCTGAAATAGTTTATTCCATAAAGTGGGGATGGTCTGCGGTCTTTTCAGGTACAACAGGATCTGGCCTGACATGTGTCCATGGGAGCATTGACACAACATCACACCTTAAGTGACTTTCCCTATTATCTATAGTCTCCAAACCCACTGAATCAAATCGACATAATTATTGGGGTTTTGTTCCTTTGAACTATCCACAGGCACTCTTAACAAAATTGCTCTGTTTGTTTGCTTGCTTGTTTTTTGAGGAGTGCTGGGTAATACTTAAAATAACACCATTTTACAGAATAATATTTACACTTTTTAAGAACCCACCACCTGAAAGTATTTAACTCTCTGGAAATTTGGCTTACACTTGAAGTTCAGCATGCGTTGAAGTGCTGTCTTCAGTAAACGTGGATTTAGGTTGAAGCTCTAGCGAGTCGGGGCTGTGGTCAGAGAGAAGCTGAGCTACACGGCCGTCTGTCACAGTAACGTGTTTGACCCCTTGCTGTATTCACAGAGATATGCAGCTGTGGTACCAGCTCAGAGCTGAGGAGCTAGAGCACATGCAAGCTGCTTACTTTGGTTTTAAGGGAAGAAACAACAACAACAGCAACAAGAAACTCAGGGATAAACCCGTATTTGATGATGTGGCTGACATGGCATATGATAACCAAGGCTTCTACAGGTAAGGCTGTTAAAAGACAGTGGGTTTCAAGGAGTTTGCTGAACACATTTGAGAAAGAGGATTCCTCGAAAATGCATTTTAAAGGGATGGCTCCGAGGAGGACGTGATGCCGGTGGGTCGTCGGGGCTTATCCTTGAACTTGCCCATCTTGTGGGGAATTAATGCTGCCCAAAGGTGAGGCAGCAGGGAAGCTGCGCATGACCTCCCTCCCTGCAGCTCCTTTCTTCTCCCCAGGAGCGCCCGGTTAAGCCTGGTCTGCGGGGGAGGTTGCACCAGATTAACTGGAGAGAGGTTTTTAATTGGCTTTGTTAAATTGATGCTAAACTGCAGCAGGAGAGTCACTACTCTGTGGTGGTTAGTGGTCTCCAGGTGCCAGCCCGCCTAAGAGCCTTAGGAGAGGAGCCGGACGGGGACACCCGGGGCTGCTGCGCGGCTCAAGGTCAGCACCCAGTATTGCCATTCATCCCCTGCTGACCGCAAAAGCTCTCTTGAGAAATACCATTCCGTATCAGGGTGCGCGGGGCGAACGCAACGGGATCCCCATCCGCACGGCAGCGTGAGTGCCCGCGGTGCCTGTAATGACCCCGGGCTGCTCCAGAGAAACGTCCAGGCTGCGATGGCGCAGCCCTGCCGTGGGCGCTGGGCACGGGTGGGGTTTGGGTCAGATCAAAGTCACCTCTGAACGTGTCTGGATGTGGCACGCTGGCCGTGTTGTTGCCAACAAAAGACAAACAGAAAAATGAATACGTGATAAATTCTAATCGTTATTTTTCTATTACCATTCATATAAACACGCGTCATTGCATCTTTTATATCCTTTGGGTTCTGCTTCGTCCTCGTGTACGATAATATATAGCACAACCCTTGTTTGCTTTTAATTCACTGCTCACTTGTACAGCTTTTATGTACAGCAGTATCTGTGATTTGTAGTGGTTACCTGCAGAAAACAATTTTATGCAGATTATAAACCTGCTTCCATGTCACAGTGCAGCTGGAAATTATATTCAAATGGAGCACTTGCACAAAAGTCTGATGGCTGCTTAATCAATTCCTAGCTTTGGGTGATTTCAGAAAGATGTATAAAGCTAATTAAATGCTGATGATAACCTGTACAGTTTTTAGAAGACTTAGGATGCAATTTTTAATTTTGGGCAACTTCAATCTGCTCCGATGTTAATGTTTTGTATAAGTGCAATCTGCTTTTAAAATAACGTGGATAAACTTATAAAGGGCTGTAAACAGAGGTTAGTGCTCCGCTGGAGCCTCGAGCTCCTCCTGGGTTCTTATCTGCACCACTCCACAGAGCAGAAGCTGCTGTATTATGTTTACCAAATTCTGTACACCTTTTCTTAACTGAAAGTAGCAGGGAATATACAATTCCTCTGGATAAGCAGCTTCTCTGGGGCCAGAAATCAACAAGTTTATTATTTCTTTAGAAAACTGGAGAATGTGTAAACTTCAGTGGGGAATTGCAGAGGATGGGAGGAGGAAAGCCTCTGAGCTCTTTTTTTCCTACGGAGAACAACACACATGCTGTGTTAAATACCGGTGCGCATACCCACCTCCTGGTGCATGAGGTCCGCTATTAATCAAGGTCTCCTTTATTTCCACCATGCAGAGGTGACGTGATCCTGGCTAATCACTAGCCAGAGCAAAAATCAGCTAGGAGAGCAGGCGTATTAGCGTGCGCACCCCAGAGCCAGAAGTCTAGCCGTTTCTCACGTGGAGAACGGGCGCTGCCTCTAATCAGAGGTGGAAATGGCACTGAAGCTGTTACAGACCCTGAGTAAAACTGTCTTGGAATTGCTCTAGGAACAGGCGTGACCCTCCAACAATTTGTGCCTTGTTCCCTCTCTTCACTCAAATAAGATCTATTTAATCAAGGTTAGTAAAAGATGCTAATTTCTACTGTTTAATTCTGTGAAATGGGTACATGCGCAGGATGAGACGTGGGAATTCTGCTAACCTATGTCGTGCCAACTCTTGAAGACAACAAATGATCTGTCAGCTTTATGTTTTCACTTGCAAGACTTATGTTTTGTGTGTAGTGAATTAGGCTTAAGTTTCATCATCCTGTGCATGTCTGGCTTATTGGGAAAAGCAGGACAGCGCAGGCAAATCCCTGGGGAGGCGCAAACGTGAAGCTGGCTTATGCTGGGAAGACCGGTGTGAAAGGACATGTTTACTGCCTGGGTTATTTCTGCAGTGCTTTTCTTCGTTTAACGTGAAGTGGACGTGCTGGCAGTCTGTGCTTGGAGGAAATCTCTACGCGTGTGGGTGTTGCTGCAGTGGTGGAGCTGTTACAGTGTTGAGGAAATAAATAAAGGCATGCGGCGTGGTTGGAAAAAAGCAGCAAAGCTGAGAGCAGGCAAGCCCAAAGGGAAGATTGTGTGTATTGCTGCGTGTGTCTGAAGCAAAGTGTGTGTCCATGGTCACGAACAAGCCAAAAGATAATTTAACCAAGCTCCTCAAGGAAGGTTCAGACTTGACGTGAGGAAGCATTTCATTACCGAGAGGGTGGTCAAACCCTGGAGCAGGCTTCCTGGAGAGGTGGTCGGTGCCTCTCCAGGTGTTCAAGAGGTGTTTGGACAATGCCCTTAACAACAGGCTTTAAGTTTTGGTCAGCCCTGAAGTGGTCAGGCAGTTGGACTAGATGATTGTTGTAGGTCCCTTCCAACTGAAATATTCCATCCCATCCCATCCCATTCTTGTGTTAACGTTTCAGACATTTGGAGGAATTTGTGCAATGCATCGCTAGATTTCTGAGCAAATCAGCAGTCCTACTTTGTTTTTCTAATGCCTTCCTCCCTGCTGATCCCTTCCTCCCTGCCTTTCCAGGGCTGCAGGACGCGTTGTTCTCTGTGGTACAGCCATGGGAAATGGCTCTGCAACCCACTTAGAATGGGAAGGCTGAGAGATGAGTGGTGCCCTTGTCTGAGAAAGGAGTGGGTGGAGGTTTGGCAATTTATGTCGTTTTTACGATAGCGTTTTCTTAAAGCAAACTGTTCTGCTGCTTCTTCATGTAACATATGAAGTATCTGGAAGAGTGAGAACTCCTCCACCCTTGAAGAAGACCCTCTTGACTATATCTTAGCCTATTTTTGACTAGAAAAGGATGTAGGTCATGCTACTTTTCAGACTTAATTGAAATAGATTTGGAGATTAACTAGAGATTAACATTTTGATTCACCACTTGAAGGATCAAAAATACTGTAAGAACAGATAAAATAAAAAGCCAATTCTTTCAGGTAAGCCACTATAAAATAAAACAAAAAGCCAATTCTCTCAGACAGGTAAGATATTTGTTATGGTTTACAGAGTAATTTAGGATTAAAAAACTATTATCTGTTAGAGCGGTGCCTTAGTATGCCAATGAGATAATTTTGCTGTACCGAGGTGACATAACGTGGATGCAGAATGCTGATGTACAGCAGTTATAAATTACGTAGAAGCCCAGCTGTTGGACGGTGGAGGCTCCAGTGTGCTGTTCTGGACCTGTCCGCCACAAAATGAGATCTTTTTCCCCATGTGTTTCAAGCATGGAACAAATGTGATGAATATATAGTTTTACAGGGAAATGTTGAATTCTAGTGGCAACTACTCTAATTATAATGAGCCCCATTCTGGCTTCTTGGCTTCTTGAACAAATTGCTTTAAAAACCTGAGAAATATGTCTACAAATACCTGGGATTGCTAACTACACAATGCAGTCACTGTCGATGCCACCTCTTTCATTTGGATGTGAGGAATCATAACGAGGATAAAAATACCAATTTTTGGCAGAAAGTCTGACATGCAGGAGCTGCAAGCATTTACAGCATATTTGCTCTTTTATACTATTTGAAGAGCTAACTAATACTGAGCAGGGCAAGCCAAGTTACAAGGCGTGGGACCGCTGGGAGGGACGTGTTTTCCCCAGCGTTGCTTCTCAGAAGTTTAGGGCTTAGAGCAGAGATAGCAGGTTGCTGCGTGATGCAGCGGTTTGAGACAGATTAGCTGAAGAAAAGGGTCTGTCATCTCTGGGAGGGAGATTAGCTGCAGCTCTGGGCCGCGTAGTTAGAGGAGAACCACGTGCACGAACCTCCAGAACAGCCCCCCGGGAGGATTGTGAGGCAGAGGCAGGGCTTGCCACCACGGGGATACGTGGGAATGGCTCACGCAGGCTGGCTGCAGTGCGTATCAGGAGAAAAGCCTAAAATCAGTAAATTATATTCTGCCCTCCTTAACATTTTAAGATTTAAAAGCCTTCCCAGTTCTTGCATGAGAATGAAACCGGGAGTGTTGGCATCGTTTGTTCGCAGCGAGACACGCTCCTGAAAGCAGCAGCGCACCACGCTCCTGCTCGGGGTCGGGCGGGCGCAGTGGGTGCCCCCGGGAGAGCCCTGGTGTCGGGGGTGTCCGGCATCGCAGAGGAGCTAGGCTTTGAAACACGGTCCTGGGTTAAAGCGCTTTTTGAAATGGGTATGTTCCTGAGCAGGATGTGTTATTTTTGAGTCAGTTATTTTCTGATGAAGAATAATACCTGACCCTGCAGTAACCACCGCCCGAGGTGAACTGTCCTCTTCCCCCCCGCAGCAAAGAGCCGTGCAGGAGAGCTGGGACTCGGTCAGCCGCCCGTGCGCACAGGTTGTCCTCTGCCCCGCGACAGGCACAGGCCAAAATATCAGTAAAGAGAAGCTCCATGGCAGCTGTCCTTCCTCTGTGCCAGCTACGGGTGATGTTAGAGATGGAGATGAATCTCAGCAAGAGATGATACTAAAGAAGCATCAGCAAGAGATGATACTGGTGTCGAAGAGAAGAGCGGGGTCACCCTGCGCGGCACGGGGTTACCTCAGCTGGAGCTGTTCCCCAGGGGAGGGGTCAGTGCCGGCGGGTTGAAGCTGGTTTGGCCTTGGGCTCCCGTGCCTGGAGTAAGGCGGAGAAACTCCAGAGCTTGTGACTCCCAGACTGAAATAGCAGCCTCCTCTTTTCCATTAAGGAGTCCTTCCTGTTCCATTAAG